CACGGACCATTCCTTCAGAATAAATATAGATTGTTGAGTAAGCAGGAATTTTGTCCTTTTTCAAACCAAATGTCGTTTGCCTGTTGGACAGAGAACGCTTGATCGGGTAGTTCATCTTCTTGTAACAACAGAAACAGCACAGGAATCGGCACACCGTCTAATGTGTGTGGGGTTTTTTTTTTTTAGAAAATTTACCAGATTCCATCATCTCCATATCTCTACTTGGTATGGGCTTCATAACGCTAGAATCACGGACGGACGAACGGCAATTCTCTCCTGCTGTAAAGAAAACTGCATCTATTTCTTATGATGAGTATGATTTGTCCACCTCGGAGACACGAAATTTACCGCGCTGTACCTTTGAACAGAGACCCGAATGAAAAGGTAGTTAGTTCTGTTGGAACAACTGACGGGGGTGGGGGTAGAGAAAACGGTAAAATGCTCGTAATGAAAGAACAGTCATGAAACATTCGTTAAGTAACTAGGAGTAGAACAGTCAAATGAAAAGAGCCAGACAACTGTCTGAAAATGAGCTACGCATTCTCAGACATTGGCCGTAAAAGAAAAATTTTAAAATATGTAAGAGCAATACGGGGTGAGCAGCATATAGTGATATCCCTTGACGATATTTCAAATTAATGTCCGTCTGCCGATCGTCCATCCCGCCTGACTTTGCATACCCAACTAAAAAAATCTTCAAAATAACTCGGACTTCCACCCAAAGTATATTTTCGACATTGCTAAGGAGTACCTAGAGTGAGAAAGGCTCCTTTTGGGTTATGGTCTTGTTAGCTCTTATGATGGACATACAAACCAGAAGCGAACTGGCTGAGATGACTGGACGTTGCTCAAAGCGAACCAACCCAAATGCATTGGCGTGCAACGAAACACCGTTATTAAGAGTGAATACATAGTGGGTGGTCATCTGGGTGGTACACGAAAATTAAAGCTCCATAAAATCTGGATTCAACTTTTTTAAGACGGGAGTGATTAGAAAATCGTCACGTTTCAACCAAGTTCTGTATCCGTTATCAATTATTCAGCTGTGTCGAACTGTCTACCAATGAATCATCCATTGCCATCCTCGAGCTGAGGAGAACACAGCTGATGATTGATTGACTCACCTTTTCCTGTACACCACTAGCCGGACTAATATTTCTTACACTCCTGAAAATAATATTGTTTGTGTCAAAGCAAGCCCCCGGTAGTAACCCTATCAAGGATGACCCATTTCCGGACAGTCGACGAAATCTTTCCAGGTTGGGCGCAATTCAATCGGATGATATACAACTGTATTTTGGCCGTTCCGACCAAACGTATCAAGAGGACTTATTTTTACGATGTTAATTTTTATGAAATCCACACTAGGAACAACTTTACACTTGTAGCTGACATTGGAAGTGTACACTTTACAAATCTAAGTTACTCCTGAATCCCACATGGAACCTCGGAAGCTTGCCGTCAAAGGAATCGCTATTGAAAGGAATATCGACAGCTTCAATTTCTTAGGTAATATGTGAAGAATGTCTCCTTCAAGCGAGAAAGATAAACTTCACGTATATTCTTCAACCCACTTCACATGATCAAGTGACATAACAGCTGATCTTTGGCGTGATTCCAGAGGATTCTTGAAGATCTCTTCAGCGGTATGCGCTCATACTTGTGGATGGTTAATTTGGTTCGTTCCTCGGCGAATTGCACCTGTGGCCTTTGTGCTTTACTCGTCCGTCGACTATGCAGCTGGGCAAGACGATGAAAAGGGTACTGAACTCAATAAAATACAAATACTTTCAGATTAGGAAGTGCACGAAATCCCGGTGATTTAAGGACAGACTATAAATCAGTCTGCCGATTTATGTAGAATATGCAGGGTGCGTGTAAACAAATGATGATTGGTCCTTCGTTCCTAAATTTACCGGATGTTGTAGCCAAAGCCTTTGATCCTCATCAGACCACTGTCGCTTTAACGTAACTTGTCAGAACAGCGAAAACCTAAAAGGCAGAGGAAGCATTGCTCAGGTACAAGTGCCCAGAAGTTGACCTGATCGATTTCGGAGCATTTTCAGATATCTTCATTTGCGGAATCATCATTATCATCGGCAGTATAATTTGTTGTTGCGACACACACTTGTTCCGAATAATCCAACCTTTCTGTTTGCCATGACATATCAATTGTTCTGGATTTCCTGTTAAGTGGATGATGTCTGTTAGGAACTTATCAACACATGATTTAGGTAGCCCACCTACCATTTTACAGACGGTGACGTTTGCGCTGGGTATGGTTTATTGGCTCTTTGTCTAAAGCAAACGAATTTTTTTCTGCTTGATTAACATGCGCAAAAGAACCTTACGTGGGAACAGACATATTTGCAAACATGTGCCAGTGTTTGTGCTTTCGCTCTCATCCATCTACCTATGCCCACTCAGCGCATTATCGGTTGGTAAGATGGATGAAACCGGTTACCCAACTAGAACTATTCATATATTATGGGAATCATGCCCCCTGAGCCTGGCTTCAGACATATTTTTCTCGCATACATGACACAATTCGTGTCCATGTGTGGTCCACGTGATGTATAACCATGATTGGCTGGAAGAACAAGCCTGGGTGGCAACCGGATCTCCTAGTCGGTCCGTCAGCTTTGTGGGTATGATAACTTTAAAGAGATCAGCTTAAAAATGAATATCTTCATGTTGACAAGACCACATCCGTCAGTGACAGCAACGACCGAGTTTGAAGCGAACAGAAGAAACGAATTCGACGCCGATACACATTCACAACAATATCACTTATCAGCTGACCTTTTACGGAAGATCACCATGAAAAAACTGTACAATATTTTTACAATATTTTCACTCCCTTGAGGTGAATCAGCAAAAAACATGATGAAGTGTTAGGAACGTACTGCGTCATTCTACTACCCCTCCCCCCAACACCAACAGAACAAAACACAGCACAAGCTGAACTCGTCTCATCTGTCGTTTCCACGAGCAGGAGATCTGGCCAGATCGAAAATATGTGGCGGTGCAACCGTATCAGCCTTGGTGTGAAGTCCATCCCCGTTTATCTGAGCAAAATTCAAGTTACATTACCTCATTCCTTCTTTAACCTCCCAGTTTCCGTTCAAATTTTCAAACGGAGTGAATAGGATTTTAATTAACGACAGGCCCCATTGTGAAGAGATTTTCACGGAGCCACAGGAAAGATAAGTTCTTACTTCAAACTGATGCGTTTCGCTCACTGATGCTTCTGAACCCCTTTTCAATGAGGTTAGATTTATGTTACTACATTCATTGTGGTGTGATTACTTTGAGGTGACCAGCAACAAAAAACAAAATTTCATCAATGTATGCTTTCCCGGCTTCCGAATTCCACGTAGAGTGAGTGGTGTTCAGGTTGTAAATGAAAATTTTTCGGCAGTCACTATACCATTCACTCAACTTTTTCGCAGATTTGTCACCTTGGCGAGATTCCTTCTTCTTTGAGAGTACGAATGCAGTGAACTACCATATACGTTATCCATTAATATCTTGGTGTTTTGGGCCACTTCCACAATTACACAATGAAAAATCTCGCTTTGACTACAAAAAGAATGCAGGTAATCAATATTCTTACATATTTTTGGTGGATTCATTTGGTCAAATCCTGATGAACCGGTAGTATAGCCATCAGTTCCTGCCCTAAAGTTAATTACTATACGTATTTCTTCGTTGTCTAAACTCGCGTCAGAACCACAAGCAATAACTTATCACTCTTGGGAACATAACGTGACAAAACGCAACGCTCGCTTATCTGATAAATCAACGCGCTTTGCTCCACCTCTGTTGCCTGAACTGTGTACGGTGCCTGAGACGTCCTAATGCATGATGATAACTGTTGATCAATACAGACTGAACCCAGTGAAGTAAATGCCTCTCTTGGGGCAGAGGGTATAAATAGCACTTACATCATCAACCATTGGATATGACCATCAACTGGTTGAAAGCTTATTCTGAGCGTTGCCTAAATATCTCGCAACAAGTTACTTTGTCGCCAAGATACGATTTTAGACCCCAATGCTGTCACTGCACTTAAAACCTCCACCAAACAATTTACCCTGAAAAATTTCACATTTTCGTAGGAAACATACAAAGTGCATCCAAACTGAATCGACTATTTTGAACCAGAAAACTTTATAGAAAGAACAGTCCGTGAATCATAAAGTGAAACTAGTGCAGTGATGTCAAAAAACACTGATCTAACATGATAAGGGCATAAACGGAAAATGAAACGTCGGATAGGCTCTGTCCAATGAGCTTTCCTAACAGTAATGTCGATTCACCCTTTTTTTTCTCGTCAAGCTATTTACAGAAGCGACAGTACAACAGAGTCAGGCGCATCAACGCACATCATATGTCCACCCTTCGGCATGTCAGAAAAAGGGACTCAAATGGTCTACTATCATTACCTCGCATCTACACCCGAATCGGAAAAGCACCGAATTTCGCCTAGCTGACTGATATATGCTGAAGTTACATCACTTCGTTTCTTTGCAAGAGTCAAGTTTAAATAACCCGAAATCCTGGTAGTTGCCGAACAAAAGGAATTGGTGGCGCTAGTCAACAACAAACCGGCAAAATGAACTGAATTCAGGAAACATTGCCCAACACTGCAAACTGATTCAGCCGACAGGACCAGGGGAGAAAATGGACATTTATGCTAGATATAGTGTATCCATGGTGTGAAAACCTTGTTGCCCAAATCACTCTCTACCCGCTTCCCCGCTTTGCATTTGTGTCACGCAAACGCGGTAAATGGTAGCGTCTTAGGTTTCCGGCGTGCGTGATTGAACTCAAACTAAAAATGCCTGTCTTTGATGTCGAACATTTCGGAAGGGAGTGATGCGCACTGTTTACGAACCGGTTCCAGAAAGGTGGCATGCTGAATCGGGATAGAAAAAAAACCGGCAGCTGGTAAGTTGAGCTAATTTCTTGTTTGATTTAGTCTCCCCTCTACATACGTGTCCCAACTTGAGAACTTGCGATTTCTTCAGCCGAAAACCTGTTATCACTGATTAGGGCGCAAGCCGGAAGTGGGCACTGATAAAGAATATAATTCGAAAAAAACTGATACACGAACACGTCACGTAAGTAAACTCATCTTGATCGGACCTGGTTTGGTTTTAATCTATACTTAATTCTCGCACATTCTGATCGCCAAATTTACTGCATTACTTCAGATCCGATGCCTAGAATGAAGATCACAAAGCTAAAGTTTTGGCAATGCGCACATGGTTTGTATGGAGTTTCTAATCAGTGTCCGTCCATTCCTTGTTTTGGAAGAGCAATTCTTCTTGATAAGTCATAATGACGGCTAAAGAAGGACATTGGTCCGAAATTTACGTTCGTGTTAACAGAAGACCAGACTAAACTACAATGGATCTCTGATGGTGTGCTTCGGCCGAATAAGCTGCACGGAGACCGCCTCGTGATTCAGCTTGCATGACACTCAAGATAAGGCAATGTGTTTTCTTCGCATAACTCTGTGCAAAAGATTGTGGCAAACTCTTCGATAAACGTCTACAGGTTTTGTCCTTCTTGGGGCTCATATTTCTGGAATTTACTTATTTGTCATTTGGCACCAAATAATGCGTAACTGGTGGAATTCATTTTCAAATTACCTAGCAAGAGACTCAATTGAATCGATCGTTTAAGATGTAAACCCCCACGAAGGATGAATTCCGTAGTGGACTGTCAGAGTCCTTAAGAGATTTATGAGTGATGTGGTCTGTCAGGAAAATAGGTTGTTTATTCTCATTTGATTCTAGCCCTGTGGGAATCACTACAACTCACTTATGTAGGGGACACTTAAGGCTGAGGACAAAGGCTTACCATGTTGTTCTGGTGCGCCTCAAACAGGAGCACTTTGATTATGGAGTGTCATTAGCATTCCGATAAGACGAAAACGAAAAATCAATCATTCAAGAATTTTCTCTAAAAAACACATACACGCGCGAGCTCACCATGTCGGGACAGGATTAGCCGGTAGAAGCTGGAGAATCGATATAAATCAATAATAAGTTGTGGTTCCCTGCTTTATTCTGAAGTGAACAGTACGCCGTCTTTGATCGTGGCCAGGGGGGTTTAATCTCGTTACTCTGCACATTTGTTCTTATCCGGGTTCGTCACCCCTGAACATCCGTTTCCGTTTCGAGCGTTGATTCTTCATTGTGTACGGTTTGGCATGTATCCAGTATGATATCCATCAATACTCAAATACGCCTTTTAACTTCCAGGTAGGGCTGAAGATGACTGACAAGCCTAGTCCATAACATGTCCATAGCAAGCGTCCAATAACACGACCAGGAGTCCAGGCATTCCTTCATGAACTTTCTTTACGGATACTGCAACACTACCTATAAACCGTCGTGAACGCGCAACATGGTGGTGCTTTAAAACTAGCTCCGACTGAAAGCTTCGTTGCTCAATGTGTGGTGGTGTCAAAACTTCGAAGATAAATTTAATACACATACTGAAAAATGCTTCTGACGGAGACAGGTTTTCGAATGCCGATAGTCCTAGCGTCATACAATCAAGCAGCAAAAAACTCTGTTGTCAGTTATCATTTTGGTATTTTCTTATTAACCATTTTGTAATTGAAATCGATTTGGGATCACTTGACTCTTGAACTAGTGAGATCTATCTGTATTCACCACGGCATCCTGTCCTCGGAGCCGGTGACCTGAAAGCAATATCATACAAACCTGCTAACGAATCAAAGATATACATTCACAGTTGTTTTTCTCACCTTCCTTGGCTTCTCAAAGTTCAACTAAATTTATTTTCATCTGCCTCTGGGTATGGCATCCATACTCGCTCCTAACTAGAACTCTGTCACTGCGCTTTCGTAGACAGGCCCAGATGCTTCAGATACATACTTTTCACGCCGCCTTAGTTGGTTTGATTATGCTAATCGAAGTACATAAGGGCTTATTTTATCGTAATCACAAGGTACTAGCTAGAAATGGAGGCCAAAATTGTAAACTGTTTAAATAAAGACTTACTAATTGCGTTGCTGCCTCTTCATTTGCTGCTTGGTTTCTTTAGATTCTCGGTGGGAAGAGCGCGGAATGGAATTTACAGCAGGTCTTGGGATCACCACCAGACTGGCTGCATAAACATTTATGTGGGGAAGAGAGATCCTGAAGATGAAGAAGACTCATTTGTGTATGTTTCTGCACTATCAAAGACGCACCCAAAAATATACCTTCTGTAAATATCGGTGATTGCATTTCTGAAGGTGGTAACGCAATGCAGTCGAATATGAAGGAATGGAAACAACAACATCAGGATCTGGACACTGGCTAGCGGGCTAATCCCTGAAAGCAATATAACTTGGAAAAATTCGGCACTCCATGTGTATAATCGCCACCGGTCTCC